CCCTCTCACATGGCATGCCAGTCTTAGTTTCCCAGCCAGGAATCAAGCCTGTGCCCCCCATGGTGTGGAAGCAGAGTCTTAACCACTAGACCGCCAGGAAATTCCCAGCAACAGTTTGTTTTCAGAGAAATGTGCTACTTCTTAAGTGAAAACATTTTAGCAGTACTTAAGTGTATGGGAAAGTGGAAGTGATGGCAATCCTGATTATGTCAGTGGGGTGATGATGGATGACACTTTCTTCTAATTATACTTTCTAAATTTCCTACAGTGTGCTTCTAACTATCTGGGCCATCTGAGTTGCCAGAAGCCCTAACCTCCCTCCCAGCCCTCAACTCCAACTCTGCTTTCTTACCGAGCCTGCAGATCTCGAGCGCCCTCTGCCATAACGCATCTCTCCCTTTTGTGCTTCTAGAAGGTGCAGGTCAGTCTCCTGGGGGTTTTGTTAAAAATGTAGATTCTGATTCAATGGGTATGGGGCGGGGCCTGGGATTCGGCATTTTAAACAATTCCTAGGGGAAACCGATGCTGAACCCCACCAAGTAGCAGGGGTTGAAATTGCTGAGTCACGAAGAGCTGTTCTACAACAACGACCACAGTCAGCCTTGGATATGTCGGTCCAGAAGCCCTCCCGCGAAAGCCTAAACCTAACGCGGAAAAGCAGCCACCGCCAGGAAGACTGCGACAGCCCCGCCCCTCGAGGCCATCGCGGAGCCGCAATTGGCCATGCCACTCACGTGGTGCGGCGCTCACGTGAGGCCACTGTCCAATCGTCGCGCGCCTCCGGCCCAGGCGCCGGCTGGCGCCCCGAGAGGTGGCTGCGAGCGCCATGGCGGGAAGACCGCTGCCCGGAGGCGGCGGGGTGTGCGCCGCCGCCTACCCTAACACCTCTGCCGGATTCCCCCCGCACCTCCAGGCCGGCGCGATGCGGCGCCGCTTCTGGGGCGTGTTCAACTGCCTGTGCGCCGGCGCGTTCGGGGCCTTGGCCGCCGCCTCCGCCAAGCTGGCCTTCGGCAGAGAGGTCGAGCCGGGGGCGCTGCTGCGGTGGGCCGGCGGGCGGGGCCAGGCGGAGGAGGGGCGCTGCGGGGCTCCGGGGCGGGGCCGAGCTTACGGCGCTGGGGCCGTCCGACCCCCGCGGGTCTGTTTTTGGGGGGGTGGGTTGGGGGGCTCATCCGTTGTCGGGCGCTGCAGAACAGCGGGGGCAGAAGCGCATACCTCTACTCGGAGTCACGCCCAGCCCTCCTCCAATGTAGGTGGTAAGAGACGTGGGGGACTGAGGCCTGTTCCCTTACCAGGGACCCCAAAAATCTGTCCTCCGAGCTAGTTCATTCTCGGGGAAGACGCACACCTCCTCCATCCACTCTGTACCTCTCATTTTAAGCCCTTTGTGCCTGAGCATTTCTCTCCACGTGACTCTTAAGGTGAGAAGCCTGTTGCCCAACTCCGTCTTTAACGAGTGTTTTGACTGGTCAACCCACCTGCCAGGAAACTTGGGAATTTCGGATGTCCTAGGTATAAAAGGAAGACTGAGACAAACGTTCTGGATATTTTCCCAATGCTGAGAACTCTTGAACTGCCTCCCCACGTCTGCTAAGGTGGCCTCTCCCGTCTCAAGTCATATAGGCGAGCTTCTGCTTGGTAAAGAGGTTTCATTGCAGCTGCTGCAACTCAGGGTTAGTCCTGGACTGAGACAGTAGACAGGCTGATTCTTTAGGTTTAAGCCTGTTAAGGGCTAATCCAGTGGGCACTGCCATGCTTGAAGTTGGTATCCTGGCATGTGTAATTCTCATTGGAGTAAGTGGTCCAAAGTAAGATGAGTGACCATGAGCCATGAGGTTTTCTTGTTTTCTCAGTTGTGCAGCAGACCTTCTTAAGCCTTTACATAAGTAGGCTGCCATTGGCACATAACAGTGCTTCTGTGTAACTTATACAGAGACACTCCTTCCTCAAGACACCATATATTGAGCTGCTGGAAAACTTATGAGAAAGAAGAGGAGGAGGTGTAGTCGGGTGCCATCCCCAGGGGAAGCGGCTCTCTGCCTGCAGGCAGGTTAATGACTCAACCAAGTAAGGGGTCTGCACATCTTTGTATAGGAGGCTTCTAAAGAGCCTCTCCTCTCAGTAGTCTCCTGAAACAAACAAACGAATGAAATCTGCATGTTCTCCAAGTAACGCCTGGAATCACTAGTCTGACACTCCCAGGTGTGGTTTCCCATGCTGTGTCCTAGTTCAGAGCATGCGGTCCCATTGCCTGGGCCTGCATCCTGGTGGCTTCCCCAAGCTGTGGTGCTTCAGGCAAGTTCCTTAATGCCTCAGGTTCCTTATCTGTAAAATGAAGTTATGGAATATATGAAAAGGTACTTATGACACTTAGCCCAGGGCCTGCTACCAAGTAAAAGCTCAAGAATGCCCAGTAGGACCAGGCTGAATGGCTTCTAGGCTGCACAGAGCAGCAGGGAGACCACCAGTTCCTGTTTCACCTGATTCTGGCATGTGAGGACTCTGCCCCTCATTTACTCAGACCGGGGGATAACTACTTGGCCCACTGAGACTGAACTTCCCCCACTGCACTGGTCACTGTGGGGCCGTAACAGACTGGTGTTCAATAGAAGATAACTGGATATGAATTAGCACTTTACTTCTGCCCAAGGTCACATGGCTGGTACAATGGCCAAATAAATGTCTTTGAGTTTGTTTCAGCTGTTGAGTGAGTGTGCGCCGGCTGAGGGTTAAGTGAAGGCCTGTGCAGGAAAGCTCTGAGAACCCCCAGGCTGTGGCGGCCTGGCTGCCAGCAATGACCGGACCCTGGGTGGCTGTCATGGTGGCTGCTGGTCAAGCCTGTCCAGGGCTGACTGTGGCTGCAGTGACCCTTTCTCCTGCAGGTGAACGTGGGCTTCTGCGTCTTAGGCATTATTACGATGGCTACCACCAATTCTCTGATGTGGACGTTCTTTAGCCGGGGACTCAGTTTGTCCATGTCTTCAGCCATTGCATCTGTCACGGTGACTTTTTCAAACATCCTCAACTCGGTGAGTAGCCTGAGTGTATGGTTCCTCTGTCCCAAATCTGGGTTCTGGGTGGGTTGTCCTTGGGCAACTCCTGCTTTCCCACCTAGGAGAAGGGACAGGAACTGAAGCAGAGGTTGGGCGGTATCTTGACTCCTTGTGACTTCTTCAATCTCTCAAACTTGGTGACATTCTCAAGTTAGATGGCGAGGAAGTCCAGCTGTCAAAAGCCTACTTGTTTGCCGCCCCACAGGGATCTGTGAACTCAGGCAGGAGACATGGAGGGTGGAGGGCCTTCCCTCCCAGTGGGCTGAGCCAGGGAGCACGTGCTGGGCCGGCTATGTGCAGGGCCTGGCTTCCGGCCTCTGCTGGCCTCTCTGGTCCCCTTTGCTGGTCCAGTGCTCTGAGGAGGTACCCGGCCCACTTCTACAGGTGAGACCTGTTGAAGATCACAGCTGGGTTTCAGGCCCAAGACTTCTAGCCCCAGACCTTTCTTCGGCCCCAGGGGGAGTCAGGTGGTGTCCGCGCACCCTGCGGGCACGTGTCCGCCCAGCCTCACAGCTGTCTCTGTCCCCCAGGCCTTCCTGGGTTTTGTGTTGTACAGAGAGTGCCAGGAGGTCTTGTGGTGGGGCGGAGTGTTCCTCATCCTCTGCGGACTCACCCTGATCCACCGGGAGCTCCCACCGCCCAGGAAGCCCCTTCCGCACAAGCAGCGGTAGCACCAGCCGGCCGGGCAGACCCGCTGGAAAGACAGTCATGGCGGCCTAGGCTCGGGCTGGCGTGTGGGGACCGCAGCTCAGGGCAATCTGGGTGCGCAGCCTTCCGACCCCAGGCCAGAGGACGATGCTGCCCAGGGAAGCAGGCCTGTGGCCAGGAAGCCTTGTGGGTGGACAGCTCCAGCTTCTTTCAGGGGAAGTACACCTCGGCAGTGTTCTGCCTGAAGCCGCCTCCTCCATCCGTCTGCACTGTGCTGTTGACTCTCATGTTCCCCAGCCCACCCAGTGAGCCCCGGTAGGCGCAGGAGACCCTGGGGTTGGTCAGCTTACTATATGGACTTGAGACCACACTAACTGCGATCCTGTTGCCTAATGAAGGCCAGTCACGGGATTTTGGAATCAGGACTGGTTGGGTTTTCGGCTTCACATCGATGTTACCAGACCATCAGCCTCATGCTTCTGTATTAAGGCAAGAGAAGAAAAACTAGATTAATAAATGCTTGTTTTATAAGTTAAAACTGCCAGGTGTGCAATCTTGATTCTGTCTTAATGTTTTTCCTTTCATTTTTTTGGAGGAAGAGCAACTAGGGTGAGCTGCAGTTCTCAGAGGGGAGTTGAAATCCCATCCCCACTTCCAGGCCTGGTGCTTGGCTGCTCTCTGCCTGCCAGTTCCTTCCTGACTCTACCCAGGCAGATGTTCTTCAAATTCAGGAGCATATCTGTCCATAGCTCTTATAATATTTTATGTTATGTTATGGCTGCGCCACTTGGCCTCTGGGATTTTAGTTCCCCAAGCAGGGATTGGATCCTGGTTTTTGGCAGTGAGAGCAGAGAGTCCTAACCACTGGACCCACCCCCCCCACCCCCCCTGCCCCAGGGAAGTTGCCATCTTGTCATTTTTCGAGTCCTGATTGGACAGTGCCCCCCACACCCCGCCAGAAATCTGCACACAAGCTGAAAAGTCATAGGCTGATGGTCTCACAAGAGCGCCTTAGCAACTATCGCTAACTTTGGTTTAAGAGCAACTCTGCCTTTTAAAACCTTAACGGTGTCTCCATCTGTCATCTCTCTCTCGAGACTCCAAGAGGCAGAAGTTACAGCAAACATCATTCATTATGCAGACTGTTTTTTTTTTTTTAATACTGAGAGGATTTAAATTCCAACTCGCCCACTGGTGGCGAAAAACAAGGAAGTTGTATCCTGCCAGCACTTTGCTCGCAGCTTACCCTGATTGAGATGGTTCCCCAGCATTTATGATATGACGTTACGAGCAGTTGACATTTCAGTCTTTTCTACCCAGCCAGGTGCAATAACTACAGAAAACAAAAGTATTAAAATTAAAAATGACAGCTGAGGTATGTCTTCCTGCAGTCCCAGCACTGCTCTGACCTCGTTAACCCACCCGTATGGGGGTGCTGAGTCATGCTGCAGGCCCCAAGGAGGCAGCGGGCGAGGAGGACGCTCCAGTGCTCCACACGGACTCTGTGCTGTGAATTCCTTTCCTAGGGCGGAAACAAATGGCCACAAAATTGGTGGCTAAACCAACAGAAACATATTCTCTCACAGTTCTGGAGGCTGGAAGTCTAAAAATCAAGGCATGATCACGACCAGGTCCTCTTGGGAGGCTCCTTGGAGCATCCTTTCGTGGCTCTTCAGATTTTTCAAGGCTCTAAAGGCGCCCTGGCTATGACTGCATTACTTCAGTCTGCTGTGTCACCCAGCATCTCAACGTTTGCTGCCTCACACTCCCGGAGGCATCTCACCTCCTCCTCATTTCATTTCAGAAAGGACAGAGTTCATTGGAGTAAACAGGAAGTAAACGAGGTCATGCAAATATCCTGGTCCTCATGAAAATCATTCCTGTCATTCCCTGCCCCCCCACCCCCACCCCCCAATTTACTTTCCACTGACAGCTCATGCTGGGGCTTCCCAAGTGGCTCAGTGGTAAAGAACCCACCTGCCAGTGCAGGAGATGCAAGTTCAATCCCTGAGTCAGGAAGATCCCCTGGAGGAGGGCATGGCAACTCCAGTATTCTTGCCTGGAGGATCCCAGAGACAGAGGAGCCTGGCGAGCTACAGTCACAGAGTTGGACACGACTGAGTGTGCATGCATGACAACTCATGTCTGAACCAGCCTTCTCTGGGATGGTTTCACAGTCATTTCCCAACTTCAGCTCCCTCTGCACTTATGTGCTGGGCCCGGTATTCTGTAACCAAAGCCCTTCCTTCTCTCAGGTCCATCATCTGTCTGTCTGATGTATCAATCATCAGACATATCCGTCTATGAAACAATCTCTCTGTGTGGGCTCAGGGATCTCATTTGTCCCCAGTGGTTTACGATTGTTCCTGTTCTTAATTATGTCTGTGCTAGGACTGTCCCACACTTGCCCATGGAAGTCCTACACAGCTGGCTCAGGAAGTGAACGTCTCTTTGATTCCTGTTTAACTCTTGCCTCCCATGTCTGACCTCCCAACCCTCACTGTTCCAGACCTCTCGTGGAGACCTTGCAGGACCCCACCCCCTACCACCAGGCCAAGTAGCTTCCTCCTAAGACTGGTCCAAGGATGGACGATAACCCCCACGCGCACGTGTGTCCCTGCTTCAGAGACCCTGCTTTTGATTTTCATGGTTTGTGAGTTAACACAAATGAACATTTCCTAAGTAGCTACCACTTGATAGTTACAAGGAATCTATGCACAGAGAAAATAGGGGCCAAAGAGACTAGTCTAGAAGCCTGGAGTTCATCACAGTCATGAATCAGGGGTGCTAGAAGTAGCACTGGAAGTCTTTTATGATGGCAAAGATTTTGTCTCAAATGCCTACTCTAACCAGTGGTTTGTGGGTAGCCAGGGCAGTTGAGAATGGGCAGAAAAAGTTCTAAAGCTGAGGATGTCTCCATGGACTCAGGATGGGAGCCTGGAGAACGCAGTCGATTATTATTTCATCTTGAGCTCGGCTGCTTGTTTTCCAGAGAGAGGAAGAGACTTACACAAAGTAACCCAGTTCTGTCCATCCAGATTTCTTCTAATTCTGTGCCTGATGGTGACTCATTTTGGGGGACTGTAGTAATGACCACATCCCTCCTCTCTAGCTCTTTGGCAGCATCTGAAGAGACTCTGTCCTTGGATTCCAATACCTACTTGGACTACCTGTGTCTGATGATGAACCAATCATCAAAGGTTTCATCATTGCAGAATTGTAGAGTCCGAAGAAATGCCCGCCTCTCAGGAATCTGTATCTTTCCAGTACGCTAAGCTCCCCGGTAGAGGCGAGCCACTAGAGGCAGAAAGGGCTCCTGCCTGGAGCTCGGTCTTGGCTCTGGGTGGGTCTCTAAGACCCCTGGGGCGGGGGGGGGGGGGGGGGTGGGGGGAGTGCCCTAGTTGGCTTATTCTTCAGGCCAGGTGTATTCCTAAGAGAAATAACACCTTGCTTTTCCAAATTAGAATTTCTGAAGTGATGCATCAATAGGCAATTTTATTTTTAAAATTTTTGCTCAACTGAATCTTTAACATTTAAATTTTTGGAATAAGTAATTATTTGCACGTAGTACAAAATTCTAAAGATGCAAAAGTTACAGTGAAAAGCTCCTTAGCAACTCTTTCCTGTCAGGTGTGCACCTCCTGCCCTCCCCGCAGCCCCCACCCCACGCCCCCAAAGGCAGAGAGGGGTCTTTCATGACTTAAGCGTCAAGAGTTTCTCTTGGGGAATTTCCCTTCCCACCCTCACCCAAGTGGCTTAGTAGAAAATTTCTCCCACCTCCTGAGAGGAATTGGGGAAAACACACGCATCTCCAGGCAGTCATGTCTCTAGGGATGTTTGAGGTACCTTGTAAACAGTAGGCGCTGCCGCTCACCTTGGCTAGCTGAGACTGTATAGGAACTTAAGAGCTGCACTTCTGGATCTTCTGATCTTCCAGAATAAGCTAGAGGAGCATGTGTGTTCTACAGTGTGAAGGTCTTCTATAGTAATCCAAGTTGGAAAAGTCGGTGTGTTGATCAGACTCAGCAAGTTGGAGGTTGAACTTGTCTTCAGCTTGTTGGTTTATACCTAGTGCTCCAATGGCAGAAATACTACTGATGTCCCCGCCCAGCCCTGGCAGCGTGTCCCAGCCCTGACAGCTGCAACTGACTCTCCAGCCTGGGTCTCATCATTAGTAGTCATCTAAAGTTCCTAGGTACTTCTCACAGAGCCCAGTGTGGATGCCCATGTGCCCTGCCCAGGACCAGCCAGGACCCTTCAAAAAGACTGAGCTGAGGCTGGGACTCCCGGCTTCTCTCACAGTGCCCCTCCCCTCTCCCGCAGCACTCCCAGCCAACCGCATGGTTGTGTATCTTTGAATTTTCCAGGACAGTGAAGCCTGGGGAGACCATCAGATTCCACATAAAAGACATCCCAACAAAAGCTGGACTTAAGAAATTTCTCAACAAGTTTAGTTCCAATGAGGTGAAATAGGTTCCTGCTGAGAAGACTGTTCTCATCGCCAACTAGACTTTGCCTGATGCCGCGGAAGGAGGTGGCAGCTCTGACCAGCTCTGAGCCTTGGTTGAACATTTTAGCATTTCCTGCCTAGGGATTTTTGTCCAGTCGCTTAGTGGTGTCAGACTCTTTGCAACCCTATGGACTGCAGCACCCCAAGCTTCCCTGTCCTTCACCATCTCCCAGAGTTTGCACAAACTCGCGTCCATTGAATCGGTGATGCCATCCAACCATCTCATCCTCTGTCGTCCCCTTCTCCTCCTGCCTTCAATTTTCCCAGCATCAGGGTCTTTTCCAATGAGTCACCTCTTCACATCAGGTGGCCAAAGTATTGGAGTTTCAGCTTCAGCATCAGTCCTTCCAATGAATATTCACAGTTGATTTCCTTTCGGATTGACTGGTTTGATCTCCTTCCTGTCCAAGGGAATCTCAAGAGTCTTCTCCAGCACCATAGTTTGAAAGCATCAATTCTTTGGTGCCCTTCTTTATGGTCCAACTGTCACATCCATACATGACTACTGGAAAAACCATAGCTTTGACTATATGGACCTTTGTCAGCAAAGGTCTGACAAATGTCAGCAAATGTCTCTGCTTTTTAATATGCTGTCTAGGTTTGTCATAGTTTTTCTTCCAAGGAAACCTTAGGTATTAGCTTTCAGATAATTAGATTTTATTACTCATTAGATTTCAGACAGTCAGGTTTGATTACTCCTATGAGGGCAGATTCAAGAGCTAGCTGGGTGAAAGATAGCATTCAAAGGTCAACCAACCACAGCAGCACAACTACTGGGCCAGGTCATGTGGGATCACAGGGGCACCTTGTTGACAGTAGAAATGCCCAGCCTGGGTCCCAGAGCCCTGCCCTGCCACCTTGAGTTTTGGACCATGGCTGTCTGTGGTCAGAACCAAAGGCGTCCACAGCCACAGAGCTGGCTTGATAGCCCAGGCTATCAGAAGCCCAGAGCTGCTGCCCACTTGCCCTGTGAGAAGGGACCACCTCTTCAGTCCCAGTGCACATCAGCCCTGGAAGCAGCAGCTGACCACAGCCTTCTGCCCACACTGGCTGGGGCTGCTGAAAGTATCTTCTCTCTCCACTGTGTCTGCCTGGAGTCCAAGGACTTCTGCCCCACGCCTCACTCCCACCTCTCCTCCCTCCCCGAGGGGGCCTGAGGGCCATCAGGGGGACAGGGCCTTTCCTATAGACCTCGGCACACACCAAGCCCATGCCCAAACCAGACGCAGGACTGAGGACCACGTGCTGTCTGCTTGCCTTTGACTTTTGACAACTTCAGGCAACTTGAAACTGTGGCACCTGAAACCAAAATTCATGACCCCTGCCTGCACTTCCTCATGGCTGGTGGGCCTTCGAGGCACCTGCAGTGCAGGGGCCATTTCCAGTCTTCCATGTGGAAGAAGCCCCAGGCCCTTGGTGATGGTGGTGGGTGAGCCAGTGGTCCCACCTACTTGATGATGGTAGTTAAAATCAGGAACCCTCAAGAGGGCTGACATGAGGACGCAGGGGGAGGGAAGGGGGAAGGTGGTGAATGACTTCACCCCTCCCGGTGAGGGAGCCTGCCTACCTGTTCCCTCCAAACAGCCTCTGAACCTTCTCCAAGGAAGCCACAGGCTCCTCACCTTGTTCTCATCCAGATGTTTCACTCTCACTCTTAACACCCAAAACATCTACCTCCTCCAGGCAGCCGTGGGAGTGATGGACAAGCACCCCTCCTCCTCACACCAGCAGGCCCATCCCAGGCCCCTGCCCAGCTAAGCAGGGTTAGCCCTGTGTCCCCCTATACCCCCGGACTCTAGCTTCCCTTTTCAGGGAGGCCTGCCCTTGTGAACCACCTTGGACATGGCCCTAGACCGGTCATTGACTTTGCTGATCCTGTTGCTTCAGTTTCTCCCTCTCACGGTTAAGGAGGTTAAAATCTATCGCCCTATACCTCCCATTCACTCCTCGACCCCCAGGAATAAAGCTGCCTTAGTGACCCCGTAGGTCTCCACTCCACTTCAGGGTGCAGAAGCAGGCTGGCCGGCCAGAAGGGCCCTGACTTGAACCAGCTCCAGGAAAAGAAGGGGGTTAAAGAAGGATGACCCTTCCTGACCTCTCGGGTAAAGAAGAATCCCAAGGGGTGCCGCCATGAAGGCTCCCGCCTAGCCCCACACCTCATCTCACTGATGCTACTGGCCCCGCATGGCGGCCTGGAAGCAGAGCTGTGGACAGGAGCACCGGGGCCCGGAGAGACGGCCTCAGGCCTGCTGACAGGCTCTCGGCCACAGGGAGGTGGCCCGGCCTGGGAGGGAGAAGCCCCTTCCCTCGGGCAGGGGGCTGCCCCTCCCCAGGAGGAGGCGCCTGCTTGTGCCAACACAAAGCCCTTGTGTTGCCTGCAGCTCTTCGGGTGATGCCCTCCAGAGATTTGCTCAGATGATCAGTGCACCTTTAACCAAACTCCGATGCCTTCAAGATGGCCATGCGGTCCTCAGGGTCACTTTTCTCTTTCTGCAAACAAGCTTCTCAGTGTCTCATGCCGGGACCATGTGGGTGCCTGGAGAGCTGTCTGATCCTCCGAACTTCCCAGGTCAAGGGACTGTCTCTCTCTGGGGTCGGGCTTCTTTGTTCTGGACCCCACTGGGGATGCCTGCTCCTCCCTCTAAGGCTGTAACCCCGATTGGACACACTCTGGCAGAGGCACCGTGTAGCACCATGCGGGCTGAATGAGAGATACTTTATGTGAAACTTGCAGGAAATTCAGAGGTGGAAGCCTGGGCTCTAGAGTCAAGGACCTTCAGCTCTGGGCACTCTTGGCCCAAATATCTACAGTAGCTGCTCCATCGATGCTTGGTGCATGAAAGGTGAGTTTTCTTCCTGCCGGAAATACCACGGGGAGAAGATTCCAAGACAAAGGCGTAGCTGTGTGACACTTGTCTCCTGGGCCACAAATGGGAGAGAAGAGGCTCAGAGATGTCCTTAAGATGAGGTGAGAGGCAGGACGCAGCCCGGGGGGTCTGGACTGGGAGCTCCATGAAGACACAAGACTCTGGCAGCTGAGGTGGACCAGAGAGCTTTTTATTCAAATAAAGAGGTGGAAGCTTGTGCCTGGCCTCCCTCCCTGCAGCCCTCAGCTTGTTCTGACATCAGTCGCCCGGTGGTCAGTTTGGGGTTAAGCAGAATATCACACTGGCGACAGCCACCATGGAGAGAAGGCCACTGTGGTTGCTTGTGCGAGGCCACGAGGCTTAAGGTTGGGCAGATGATTCCCACATGGGACACGGTCTGATGTGTCTAGTGTGGAGGGAGATAGGCTCAGCGAGGAGAGGGGTCGGGGCTGGGTCCCACTCTGTGCGGGTGAAAGGCCTCCCCACCCACCAATCTGAAAGCAGAAGTGACTTTGGGCCTGGTGGGTACCTCTGCTTTCAGGCCATGATGGCCAGAGGAAGACAGGTTTCAAACCTGTCATGCAAGGACATTTCTCAGGGGCCCAGGTTCAGCACATGCCTTTGACCTCAGGCTTGGACTCAGCAGAGACCCCTGAAGCTGTCTGCAAACAGTGACCAGTGACCCCTGTCCCCTTCTTCTAACCATGGCCTCTGGGGACTCCAGGGGTTGGGATGCCTTTCCTTCCCCGGTGTGGAGTCTCTTGGGTATACAGTCCATCAAGCCTGCGCCTTGGATGCACGAAGGATACCTTTACCTTTTTGGGTAAGGATAAAAACTAGCAGGCCTCCGTAGTCACACCCTGCGTAGATGGTGAGTTAACAGGCTTCAGAGCCCCCCAGGGTCCTTTATATGGCTGTTAATAAATATTAAAGCTGATACGGATCCAGAAAAGAGGCCTACGGCCTGGGTGTGGATGGCCCCATGCCCTGCCAACTGCTTTATCAATGCCGGAGTCCTGCTGTCACCCTTTTGTGAGACATCATTAGAGCTGGGATGAGGAAAGACGCGTCCCCTCCTCAAGAAAGCCCAGAGCCTGGCAGGTCACTGGGGGTGGACAGCAGTGTCTGACAGTCGCCACCTTTACAGAATGCCCAAGGGTGCCCTCCCAGAAAGGCCACTGCCTGGCCCTCCTTTCTTACCCACAATCACCAAGGGGCACCAACCCTCTTCCGGACTCTGTGAAAGATGCTGCTCAGCTGCTATGAGAATGGGGATTGTGAACCCAGGACACCCTGCTCAGGCCTTCAAGAATGATCATGGACACTTCAGGCTTTACATGGGATGAGCAGGGTCCCGGCTCAGCCTGGTAGTGTGGGAGGTCTGTGTGTGTGACAGGGGGCCTCCCTGCTTCTCAATCGGAAGGCCCTGGCCACCATCCATGGTTTGAGAGAGACACCCCAAGAAAGGGCACTGTCTTGGGTTACAGGCCTAAGACTCTCAGGCTGGATTTTCTGGTCCATTCTGCCCGTGTGGGTGGTTAGACTCTTTTCAGGAGGGACAGTTAAATGCAGTTCTCACAGGGGAGGTCGGCGTTCCAGGAGCTCTACATAGGTTGTCCCTCTGCCCCTCCACCGGGAGTGGACAGGTTCTTAGCCCCAAGACAGGACACCTCAGAGCAGACTGAGGCTTCTGGTGTCTGCGGAATGCAAGCGGAGTATGCGTGCTGCTGCCACAACTTAGGCTTGTGCCCAATTGGGCACACCCCATGTGTGTGGGGGTCTTCTCTCAAACCAGGCTGGAGCCCCACAGGTGGCTGGAGCCCCGCAGGTGGCCGAAGCCGCCATGGCTGTCTCCTAGTAAGGCAGGCACGGGGGTTGGTGGGTAGCCCTTTCTGGGGAGCGGCCAGGATCCTCACTGCCTGCCCAGACCCATCTCTGCTAAGCTGGGGTTTCCAAGGCCAGCCCTGCTCTGTCCTTCTGTCACCAACTCATCACAGCTTTAGTTTCCAAAAGCCAGGAGCCTGGGCCCCAGCCTTCTCAAGAGAAGACAGACACCCCAAGAAAGGACAGAGGCAAGTTCTTTTCTGCCTCTGGGCTGCCCTGCTGGGAGCTTCCTTTGCTGGGAAGCGCGCCCAGCCTGGAGGATGGTTCCTGACAATCCCTCACGGGGTGGGGAGCTCAGAGCAAGTCTCTCTGCGTCCACCCCCATCGCCTGACCTGGCCCGGCGTGGGGGAGGGAGGGGGGTCGGAGGTCAGGAGCGTGAGGGGAGCGCGTGGGGTGCCCAGGCGCCCGGGCCCCGGGCCCCCGCCCCGCAGCGTCACTCACTCATCGACCACCTCCGCGGAGTCCAAGTCCTTCCGCTCCTCCGACGGCTCCTCCGTTGTGGTCTCCGTGTTCTCCGTGTCTGACACCGAGGACACCTGTCGCACCCAGTCTCTGTCGCTCAGCGGCTTTGGGTGACTCGGTCCGGAGAAGGGGTTGAACCAGTGCAGGGAAAAGGCCCCGCCGAAGGTCTCTTTGACCGATTTCCAGCTGCCCCTGCGTTGCCTGCGCTGGTTCTTTCGTTGGAGGCGCTCGATGCCCTGCGGGGAGAATGGGATACAGAGGGTCAGCAGAGCGCTGAGGCCCAGGGCTGGGGTCTCCTCAGAGGGCGGGGAGGGGCGCTGAGCAGCACAGCAAGCGGGGCCTGCCTTTCCTATCCCTGCCCGCCCTTTCCTTCCACAGGACCAAGGGTGCCCAAGATGGCTACTGCACAGCGACCAGGCTTCCTGGTGGCAAACGGCCAAGGGGTAACCTCTCAGGCCTCTGTAGGCGTGAGCTGCACCCGCCCCCCATCCTAAGATCACCTGGAAAGATGACCCCCTCCCCGAGAATCCTGGGCCACTCCCCCCTCTGACAGCAGGCGCAGCGAAACCGGCCTGAAGCGGGAGGCTGGGGTTAAGGGGAGCGCAGGGGACACGGGACAGGTGAGGGCAGGAGGCAGCCGCGTGCACAGCGAGCGCCGCATGCAAGGGGCAGCCGAAGGGCACGCGGGCCGCTCTGCGGGGGCGAGAGCCGGCCTCGGGCCTGCACATGCGGGGGACACGCACTGAGGCCTCTCTCGAGCTGCCCACTCACCTGCCTCTGGGTGTCGGTGCGCCAGGCCACAGAGAGGGTGTTGGGGAGGGGGAGAAGCCGCAGGAGTTAAAGGCGCAGCCAGGCCGGACCCACAACACCAACACCCTCTACCCCCACCGGGGCGCTGCCCGCTCCGCCTCTTCTGGAGCCAGGGATTCTGCCAGGGGCAACGGCCGGCACCCGTCCTGCCCACGGATAGTGCTTTCCACCTCGGAAGGCCCTCTGGGTACCCAGTTCTAGATTTTCTCTTCCACCTAGGATCCTTACCGAACCGGCCCAGTCCTCTGTTGTGCAGGAGAGACACGCACGGCTGAGATCGGGCTATGCCTGAGTCACTGCCTCTCCAGCACTCTTTTAGTTAATGGTATCCTGTCAGCTAATGGTCTTGTATCAATAAAGTCCCCAGTTTCTATACTGTATTATGGTCTTCTAAAATGTTTACATTTGGAAAGACTGACGGAAAGGCATATGGGAGCTCTCTGTGTACTATTTTTACCATTTTCTTGATTAAATCTGAAATTATGTCTCAGTAAAAAGGTAAAAAAAAAATCTGAGACACCATGATTTAGGCAATATAGTCTTGAATGCAGAATTACAATAATGAGAACTCAGAAACAATCAAAATGTCCAATAATGATGGCTAAGTAAATTTTCTATGTTTTTCTATAAGCAGAACACTAATGCAGTTAATAAAAGTGGCATCAACAAGGGCTTAATTTCCAAAATATACAAACAGCTCACTCATACAACTCAACGACAAAAATACCAAACAACGCAATTGAGAAATGGATAGAAGGCCTAAGCAGACATTTCTCCAAAGAAGATATACAGATAGCCAATAGGCACATGAGAAGATGCTCATTATTGTCAATTACTGGAGAAATGCAACTCAAAACTAGAATGAGGTGCCACCTCACATGGGCCAAAATGACCATCATCAAAAAGCCTACAAATAATAAATGTTGCAGAGAGCGTGGAGAAAAGGGAATCCTCCTACACTGTTGGTGGGAATGTAAATTGGTGCAGCCGCTCTGAAAAACGGTATGGAGGTTCCTCAAAAAACTAAAAAGAGAGTTGCTATATGATGCAGCAATCCCACTCCTGGACATATACCCAGACAAAACTATAATTTGAAAACATACATGCACCCCTATGTTTAGAGAAGCACTATTTACAATAGCCAAGACATGGAAACAACCTATATGTACACATACACACACACACACACACACACACACTGGACTGTTATTCAGCCATAAAAAAGAATGAAATAATGCTATTTGCAACTACATGCATGGACCTAGAGATTATTATACTAAAGGGAAGTAAGTCAGAATGGCAAATACTATATGGTATCACTTACATACGGAATCTAAAATACAATACAAATGAGTGTATCTACAAAACAGAAACAGACTCACAGATACAGAGGAGACTTGGGGTTGCCAAAGGAAAGGAACGGTGAGTGAGGGAAGAACTTGAACTTTGGGATTAGTAGATACAAACTATTATATATAGAATGGATAAACAACAAGGTCCCACTGTACAGCAGAGGGAACTGTATTCAATTTCCTGTGATAAACCATAATGGAGAAGAATGTGAAAAAGAATATACATACGTATTGATATAACTGAATCACCCTGCTGTACAGGGAAATTAATGCAACATTGTAAACCAACTATACTTCAATAAAAATTCTAAACAAGTGGCACTGATACAGGTTTACACACACTGGAAATTCTTGTCCATGTGGTGACAAGGAAAGAAAGCAAAGTTGCATGTGACATCATCATGGGATCTAGGGTTTGAGAATGGGATTTTAATTTCTGTTTCAGGTTTTCACCAATGAACAGGGGTGACTTTTATAATGAGAATGAGAAAGCTGTGTCAGGAAATGGACCATGTAGACACAACTCTTGAGGGAGGCTCATGTGGGTCTGGGGCACAGGATGCCATGATATTCACAATCGGATCCCTCGCCAGTCCTCCCTCCTTAGCAGAATCAGTGATGGCCAGCTAGGGGACTTGCTCTGGGGATCCCGCATTCCATCCTGAGTGATCACTTGCAGCCTGTTGATAGAGGAGGGGCTGGGGCGTGGCTATGTGGCTGGCCAGGCTACAGAGGGGACATCCAGAAATGCCAGAATGGTGGGTTTGCACTGACTTGGCTCACTCAAAGCTATCACTGTGGATTCTCACAACCACCCTGAGAGGAGGTGGTTGTTGGTACTGACAGTTGGCAGAGAAGACACAGGTGCTGGGAGGCTGTGACAGTGGCCAGAGCTAGTCCTGCTGGTTGTGCTTCAGAACCAGGATGGGAACTGGTGTGCCCTCTGCATTTTCAATCCTACTGCAAATCTTCACTCAAAGGCAGGGAAAAGCTGGAGAGGAAATGAAGCAAAAGAACCCACAGAACAACACAAACAGATGGAAAGAAATATTACGTTCTCATATTAGAAGAATTAATATTGTTAAAATGACCATACTATGCAAGGCAATCTGTGGATTCAATGAAATCCCTATCAAAATACCAATGACATTTTCCACAAAACTAGAACAAAAATTTTTTTTACTTTATATGGAAACACAAAAGATCCTGAATAGCCAAAGCAATCTTGAGAACACGAGCTGGAGGAATCAGGCCCCCTGACTTCAGACTATACTACAAAGCTATAGTAATCAAAACAGTATGGAACTAGCATAGAAACAAACAAATCAATGGAACAGAATAGAGAGCCCAGAAATAAAACCCACACATCTTTGGTAAATTAATCTAACACAAAGGAGGCAAGAATATACAGTGGAGAAAAGACAGTCTCCTCAATAAGTGGTGCTGGAAAAACTGGACAGCCACCTGTAAAAGAATGAAATTAGAACGTTCTCATAACACCATATACAAAAACAAACTCTAAATAAAGAGCTAAATCTAAGACCAGAAACCATAAAACTCCTAGAGGAAAACATAGGCAGAATACTGACATACACTGTAGCAATATTTTCTGGATCTGTCTCCTAGAGCAAAGGAAATAAAAGCAAAAATAAACAAGTAGGATCTAATTAAACTTCAAAGCTTTTGCACACTGAAGAAAACCAATGACAAAATGAAGACAGCCTACAGAATGGGAGAAAATATTTGCAAATGATATGACCAAAAAAGGGTTAATATTAAAAATATATAAACAGCTCTTACAACTCAACATCAAAAACAAACAACCTGCTTAAATAATTGGCAGAAGACTTGAATAGACAGTTCCCCAAAGAGGACATGCAGATGGCCAATAAGTACGTGAAAAGATTCTCAACATCATTAATAATTGGAGAAATGCAAGTCAAAACCACAATGAGCAACTTCCCTGGTGGTCCAGTGGTTAAGAATCTGCCTTTCAGTGCAAGGGATGCAGGTCCAATCCCTGGTCAGGGAACTAAGATCCCACATGCCTCAGAGCAACTAAGTGCTGCAACCACTGAGGCCGCATGCTCTGGAGCTTGCATGCTGCAACTAGAGAGAAGCCGTCATGCCAGAGCAAAGATCCCACATGATGCAACTAAGACCAGACACAGCCCCCAAAAATCCCCAACAAGGAGATGTCACCTCTCACCTGTAAGAATGGTTATCATCAAAAACAATGCAAATAAGTGTTAGCAAGGATGTGGAGAAACAGGAACACTTGTGCACTGTTGGTGGGAATGTAAATTAGTACAATCACTGTGGAAAACAGTATGGAGATTTCTTAAAAAAAAACAAAACAGAACTACCATATGATCCAGCAATTCCACTCCTGGGACTATATCTGAAAGAAAAAAACCCCGATTTCAAAAGATACTGCAATATTCACAGTAGCACTATTTACAATAGCCAAGACATGGAAGCAACCTAAGTGTCTACAACTGACGAATGGATAAAGAAATAGTGGTGTGTGTATATATATGCAATGCAATACTACTCAGCCATAAAAGAAATTTTTCCTTTTGCAACAACATGGATGGACTCTAAGTTGAAATAACTGAATTCATTAAATCAAATAAGTCAGAGAAAGAAAAATACTGTATAATATCAACTCTATGTGGAATCATAAAAAAAAAAAAAGAAAAGAAAACCCAAGCTGCTGAATATAACAAAAAAAGAAACAGACTCACAGATACAGAGGACAAATTAGTGGTTATCCATGGGGAGAGGGGAAGGGAGAGGAGCAATATAGGGGTAAGTTATTAAGAGGTACAAAATACTGTGTATAAAATAAGCTACAAGGATATATTGTACAACACAGGGAATAGAGCCAGTACTTTGTAATAACTATAAATGGAGTATAACCTTGAAAATTTTTGAATCACTATATTTTCACATATAATATCATACATCAACTATTCAGTAAAAAATTTTTAATTAAAAATAAAAAGAGGGGGGTCTTCCATGGGGGCCCAATGGTTAAGGATCTGCCTGACAATGAAGGGGACACAGTTTCGACCCCTGGTCCAGGAAGATCCCACATGTCATGGGCCATGTGTCTAGAGCCTACAACAAAGAGTAGCCCCAACTCTCCATAACTAGAGACAGCCTGCGCACAGCAATGAAGACCAGTGTGGCCAAAGATTAAATAAATAAGTTTAAAAATAAAAAGAGAGCCCACAGAATGATACTCAACCTCCTCAGCAAGCTTGTAAAAATGTTGCAGACAGAGTCTGGCCTGCCCACCAGACCAACTTCTTCAGAAGTTAAGTGGACAAACATCTAGGAGTGTCTGTCTGAAGAAGAAAAAATACTCCAAATGAATCTGATGCAAAACAAAGGCAGAAGGGGGCTTCCCTGGTGGTCCAGTGGTTAAGACTCTGTGCTTTCACTGCAGGAGGCACAGGTTTGATCCCTGGTGGGGAATTAAGATCCCACATGCCACACGGAGGCCAAATAAGTAAACAAACAAACAAAAAGTTTTTTAAAAAAAGAGAAACTTTGAAGATCTGGACCCTGAAGTTCAGAAGGAGCCAGTGAGGTTTCTTTTCCCTGGTAGGACTCACTTTTGAGTTCTGTGTAGATTTAAAGGTGTCCAGGAGGCAGAGTTCTTAAGCTGGAGGTTTGTGGAGGTGGCAGTGATACCCACTTTCTGCTCAAGCAAACAGGAATGGTTTGTTGATTCCTGGTAAGGGGGAAACTGCCTAAGCCAGCGTTTCTCACAGGCAGTGTGTGACTTCAGCCTTTCAGGCCTGATCAGCCTGGGTGCCACGTGAGTAGTGATCTATAAGCCAACTGACCAATGCCCCAGAATGAATGAACCAGGACCATGGGTCACTAGGAGATGGACACCAGGCACATGCTCTGTAAGGACTTGGCTGAAGCCCACAGAGGAGGAGCAGGAGGTCCCCGCATCTCAGAGGTACAAAGTTGGAGTTGCTGCAGCCCATGCAAACGTGCCCTCCTCAGAGGCGGCCAGGCAAGACTCTCTTCATCAGTGGTTTCATATGTTTTTAGTGCAACCCACAACAGGAAACGGGCTTCCTTGGTGGCTCAGCGGTAAAGAATGTGCCTGCCAATGCAGGGAGGCGCAGGCTCGATCCCTGGGTTGGGAGGATTCTCTGGAATAGGAAATGGCTGCTGCTGCTGCTAAGTCGCTTCAGTCGTGTCCAACTCTGTGCAACCCCATAGACAGCAGCCCACCAGGCTCCACCGTCTCTGGGATTCTCCAGGCAAGAACACTGGAGTGGGTTGCCATTTCCTTCTCTAATGCATGAAAGTGAAAAGTGAACGTGAAGTTGCTCAGTCGTGTCCGACTCTCCTCAACCCCATAGACTGCTGCCTACCAGGCTCCTCCGTCCATGGGATTTTCCAGGCTAGAATACTGGAGTGGGTTGCCATTGCCTTTCTTGCCTGGGAAATCCCACGGACAGAAGAGCCTGGTGGGCTACAGTCCATGGGGTCACAAAGAGTAGTGACGACTGAGCGACTAAACAATTGGGAATACCATTCTGTTGCAGCCTACCACACACACACACCCCAAAGTTTCATGAAAATACGTCTTTTACAAGGTGTAAGGCATTATTGTTTATTTTTGTTTAAAAAATGCTGTTGCAAACCAATAAACTGATCTTGCACTTGAACAGTTGTGCACATGATCT